GCCTTAGAAACTCTTTTCTTCCAAATATTTGAAGAAAAGTTTTCCTTTGTTTTTTGTTTAACCCTGCACTCCCACTTAGAGTTTTGCATTTTTACTTCTGCCCTGTAAGAGCCCTTAGTTATAGTCATAATTGTTTATTTTTTTGTTACTGAGATTTTTTTATCTAGACATGTTTCATAAAGGAGAAATAAACACATTTTATGTAATACAATAATTTATTTTTATAATATTCTTATGTCTTATTTTAGGTGTTTTTGTTTGGAATAAAAAGACTTGGAGGCCCATGGGTAGGCTTCAGAGAGTCTGCATTTCCCCGAAAAGTATATATATATATATATACACAAAGTTATATATGTGTGTTGTGTATAATGCACATTTTCCTAGGGAGTTTTATCAAGTTTTATCAGACTCTCAAAGTCTGTTACTACAAAATAAGAGCCACTGATTTATTAAAACCACCTGAAATAGCATGGAAGCATCTTCATCACTTCCTGGAAGTGGTCTTCCTTTTATTCTTCTCACATTGCTTTTCTTTTCAGGATCAAGCCTTGAGAATGTGTGAGGAGTGGGGTTCAGGGATTGGTGGGTTGGAGGGGTGTGTGGGGTTATGAGCCTGCAGGTTGAACTTTAATCAATTGAAATGAAAATTGTGGATTAAAGAAAAAGGGAAAAAATTACAAAGGCAGCTCTGGGTAGAATGGGAGAGGTTATAGACATATAATTAATTTTGTTGTAATTATATGTTCATCCTAGGATATAAACTGGCTTTTTTTTTAAAAAAAATCATGAAGCATATCAAAGCTACAATATTGGGCTAGGTGTGGTGGTTCTTGCCTGTAATCCCAGCATTTGGGGAGGCTGAGGCAGTAGGATTGCTTGAGCCCAGGAGTTCAAGACCACCCTGGGTAACATATGAGATCCCCATCTCTACAAAAAGTAAAAAAAAATTAGCTGAGTGTGGTGGTGCACACCTATACTCCCAGCTACTTGGGAGGCTGAGGTGGGAGGATCACTTGAGCCTGGAAGGTAGAGGCTCCAGTGAGCTCTGCTTATGACACTGCACTGAATGACAGAGAGAGATCCTGTCTCCAAAAAAAAAAAAAGAAAAAGAAAGTAAAGAAAAAGAAGCTACACTGTTGTTGGCTTATTTTCTTTGAGAATAAGGATACATAGTAGCATAATTTTTTATATAAAGATATATAACTTTGTCTACCAAAAACAATGTCAACTACAACCACTTAAGTTTTCAAAATGCATTTTTTAAATTTTAAAATCAAATAAGTTCATAAAGACTAGCAATAATTTCTCTCTACAGCCTACAATTGAGACTGAAAACTATAAATTAGACAAAATCACTAATTGACAACAGTGGCTGGTACCTTATTCGCTGTGGTCAATTGGCAAATTGAATGCAAGTCAGGTTAATAAAGCAAATTTTCTACTTCTCTAATTTCCTCTTATTTTTTGACATACAAAGTTTTTATTGAAAGCTATCTCAGTACCATTTTGGAATAGAGTGGGTTATAGGCAAACAAGCATAACTACAGTGGATTCAAATATATTTATTTATTGACCTTCATATTTTAACAAAATGGAGTTGTCTTGACCATATGAATCCATAGTCACATAAACTAGGCACATATTTCTTTTTTTTTCTTGTTATTATTAACAAGCAATATAATCAAAAACAGAAACACAACGACCTTAAAGGTTAATAAGTCAAACTGCTGCTGCATGTACCTGGGGTATATGCTCACTCATTGCAAGGCAGGACGTAGGCACATGACTGTGCATTTAGGTATGTATGTAACCAAGAAGAATGAGACAAATGGAAAACACTGGAGAAAAGAAAGTGTCAAGAACTTTTCATCAGGCAATCCCAAAGCGCTCTGCTCTTTTCCTCTTCTTTGCCTCTGTATCCTCTGTTGGTTCCAGTTCCAGCTGAACTTGTGACAATCCCAAATCTCTCCTTCCTCTTTTTCAGTTTCTCATCATCTTCAGACTTTCTGGAGATTGAAGAGACATTCAAACCAAATCTTTGAGCTGTTTCCCTTCAGCTTATCCAAGTTAACCACAGGTTTGTTATCAGATGACAGACCTTTTGTTGGAACTGAAGAAATCCCAAACCTAGCTACCCGAGCAGCTTTCTTACTCTCCAAGCTCACAGGTACATTGAATCATTTGGCCCCATTCTGCATTCTCTGTCTGTGGTATTTCAGATGTAATTTTCACCACTTTCTTCTCTGCTCCCACATCGACAGTTTTTTCAGGGGGTTCTTCCTCTTTGACAGAGAGCTCTGTGGGCTGTGTTTCTTCTTCCTCTGTTTCACCTCCCAGTACATCTTTTTCATTTGCCTCCTCTTCAGCATGTTCTTTAAGATATACCTGGAGTCTGTGGATAAGGTCTTGCTTTATTCCCTTGGTCTCCAAAGCAAGACATTCTTGCTTTAGTTCAGCAAGCTTCAGTTTATGGAGCTCCACTGTCCTGTTAACCCTCCAAACTAGGCACATATTTCTTACAAATATTTAAGTAAAATGAAGGTAGTAGCACATAACTTATAATGCTATCAGTTCATCTTTGCTAACACTAAGATATGAATCAAGACAGTTTAATTCTGTTCTCATATTATATGAAATCACCTATTTCGAGTCAGCTCTAGGTGTGCTTTTAAAATATGTTCATCTTAACTAATACCAACCCACAAACTCATGGTATAGGGAAAACTTAAAGCCCAAATGGGACTGCAAATATTTTCAGCCTTCCAAGATGGTTCATATAAATATGATATGCCCAAAGGCTGTTTCTGTCTGTATAAGGCATCTAATGAGGTTATGTTCAATCAGCAAAGGATATTAAAGTATTGCTGAATGGTTTTTGTCCCAGATGCAGTATGAATAAGATGGCTGGCAACAATAGATCAAAGTCCCCTTGAGGCATCATACGCATTTATTATGAAGCGCTCAAATGTGACAATATACAAGTCACCAACAAAATAGCAGTTATTTTATGAAAATTATGAGGGCAAGGGTGAGGTCCTCTTAAGTATGCCAACAAAATGCAATTAAACAGATTATATTGCTGGAAACAGTCTGCTTTGAGCTGAATTTACATAATGTATTCATTTAACTCATGCCCACATAGCTAAATGTTTACAGGGTGGAAATGTTCAACTGTTTCCCAGTCTCATTGTTGGAAGTTAGTTTGCAGAAGCCCTCAGAAGTGAGCCCTCTGTTTCATGTGATACTGAGAGAATGCCAGTGGGGGCTGAGTTCATTCTGCTTCTAAGTGTCATAGGTCTATGTGGGTCCCTGCAGGACTACAAGAGACCTGGGCTGAGTCATTCTCTACACCGTATTTCTCCATTTACTTCTGTATTAGGCTTCTCTTAGAGGGGCAGAGTTAATAGGAGATATATATAAAGGAGAGTTGTTAAGTATTAAGTTACATGATCACAAGGTCCCACAGTAGGCTGTCTGCAAGCTGAGGAGCAAGGAGAGCCAGTCCAAGTCCCAAAACTGAAGAAGCTGAAATACAGTGTTCGAAGGCAGCAAGCATCCAGTATGGGAGAAAGATGTAGGCTGGGAGGCTAGGCCTGTGTCATCGTTCACATTTCTCTGCCTGCATTATATTCACTGGCAGCTGATTAGAATGTGCCCACCAGATTAACAGTGGGTCTGCCTTCCTCAGCCCACTGACTCGAATGCGAATCTCCTTTGGTAATGCCCACAGACACCCAGGATCAACACCCTGCATCCTTCAATTCAATCAAGTTGACACTCAGTATTAACCATTACGCTTCTTTAGATGATTGATTGATTTTATTTTTTAAAATCTGGATTCCACATATTTCCTCCAGTTCTTTGTTTTGTTTTTATTTTGATATGTAGTCTTGCTCTGTTGCCCAGGCTGGAGTGCAATGGCACAATCTCGGCTCACAGCAAGCTCTGCCTTCTGGGTTCAAGCAATTCTCCCATTTCAGCCCCCTGAGTAGCTGGGATTATAGGTGCACACGACCACACCTAGCTAATTTTTGAATTTTTAGTAGAGAAGCGTTTCGCCAGGTTGTCCAGGCTGGTCTCAAACTCCTGATTTCAGGTGATCTGCCCGCCTGGGACTCTCAAAGTGCTGGAATTACAGGCGTGAGCCACCTCGCCCTGCCTCCTCCAGTTCTTAAAATGAGAGAAAACAAAGACAAATGGCCTCAGTCTTCCTTAAAAAGTATGGTTTTTCATTTTCTTAAATCTTCACACTCTGCTTTCTGTCATATTCAGTCTTTATTTGGTAAAGACTTCCTGTTTATAGACGTCACCTCTGGAAAGGCTTGAGAATACAGCTGTGGAGTTGAGAATACAAATGTTTTCTTAATCATTTAGCTTTTGATGCCTCCTTATCAATGACCCCCGTAAAAGCCAGTCCTTCTGTAAACATTCTAAGATGCTCTAAACAATGAAGACCTATCTGGGCTCAGGATTGGATGCATATGCCATATCTTCTTGACTTATTTTCCTGCCTTGTTTTCAATAATGATTTACTCATTTATTTTAATTGAAAAAACGTCTGGATTTTACCTTGCTGTGGAGGCCACATTTTTCACTGTGTATGTAATTAAGAGCTAGTATATGCGCTTAATTCCTTGTCTGTATCACTACTCTTGTCTAGTTGTGATTCATATAATCACATCTAACATTTTATATCCTTATCAATAAATTTACCATTGCGAAAGTAGTAAGATCTATTCCTTTTAGTAACTTGTACTAGAATTGTAGTATTTACTGTTAAACTCAATAGTCCTAACACTAAATGAGATGAAAAAAGATACAGTGATTCTTCGATGACTGTTTTTCTGTTATAGAGATCATTCTGAGTAGTTCTCATTTTTTACGTTTTTAAAATAAATTATTAATAATAGATGGTAAATTGAATACCTGTAAATTAAGTAAACTTGAAACAATTTTTAACAGCCTTCGTTTTATAATTATATATCATGCTTTCTTTGCAGGACCGTGTAATTGCATTAGAAACGGTAAGTTGGGGCATTTTCTTTCTCCTTGTGTCAGAATTACTGCTGTCTCCCGATGTGGATTTCAGTGCACACCAAAGGAAGCAGTTTCAGAAATCATTTTTAAAACTACATCTAAGATGTCAAAGGGAAAAAGGAGTTAAACTGTATCTAAAAGGTATGTGGATATAGACTTTAAAATGAAAAAATAAATTAAAATGTGAGCATATTTAAGTGGTCACATCTCTCAGGACTTCTGACGTCAAGATGTATTAATATATGAAAAACATAATTAGTTTAAATATAGTCAATACTTTGTGTGTTTTTTATTGTAGTTTACAATCACTGAAAGGATTGATAAGAAACTGTGGTTAGGTTGCTATTTATCCTTTCAAGTCTAAGTTTTTAACATTCATTTAACTTATTTTCACCAGTATCACAAAAAGAATAGTAAAAGCATGCCAACTTTTTCTGAATAATCTTACTTGTAGGAATGTACTATTAAGAAATAATTTTTCAAGTTCATAGATGTAAAGACTACATATATACAATATTTATTGAAAAATTATTTGAAATTTATTCAAAAATTATTTTTGGCCTGACGTAGTGGCTCAGGCCTGTAATCCCAGCACTTTGGGAGGCCCAGGTAGGCAGATCACCTGAGGTCAGGAGTTTTAGACAAGTATGGTCAACATGGTGAAACCCCATCTCTACTAAAAATACAAAAAAATTAGCTGTACTTGGTAGTGCATGCCTATAGTCCCAGCTACTTGGGAGGCTGAGGCAGGAGAATTGTTTGAACCCCAGAGGCAGGGTTGCAGTGAGCTGAGATTGCAGCACTGCACTCTAGCCTGGTGACAGAGTAAAACTCTGTCTCAAAAAAAAAAAGAAAGAAAAATTATTTTTAAATTATAAAAAGGAAAACCAGGGCCAGGCATGATGGCTCATGCCTGTAATCTGAGCACTTTGGGAGGCTGAGGCAGGTGAATCACTTGAGGTCAGGAGTTCGAGACTAGACTGGCCAATGTGGTGAAACCCTGTCTCTACTAAAAATACAAAAATTAGCCAGGAATGGTGGCGTGTGCCTCTAATCCCAGCTACTCGGGAGGCTGAGGCAGATTCGCTTGAACCTGGGAGGCAGAGGTTGCAGTGAGCAGAGATTGTGCCACTGCACTCCAGCCTGGGTGACAGCGCAAGACTCTGGCTTAGAAAGAAAAAAAGGGAAATCAATTTATTGTTTGTCAATAAAGTTATGGTTCCATAGAGTAAGGAATTTCCATCCAACATGCCACAGTGGTTATGCAAAAGCTTATAATATTAAATGGAAAAAAATTCAAGATATAAAATTGTGTGTACCTTAATGATGACATATAGGCATATAAAAAAACAACAAAATAGAGTAACTGCAACACTGATAAGTTAGATAAGAATTATGGATTTTAATTTTATCCGTTTCTGTTTTTCAATTATTTGATGAAATACTACGCAGCCATAAAAAGTCAGGTTTTCAAAAAAGCAAATATTGTCATGCTAATATGTGAAAAAGTGATGTAAGATATATGAAGTGTGACAAAAATATTAAATGTACATATTTTACAATTTAGGAGACTAAGAAAATATATAAAATATTACAAATATCTTAGTAGTGGTGATTTTTTTTCTTCTTATATTTTTAATAAGTAGGAAAAATTCTTTAGATAATAGGGTTAATAAAAAATGAAGTGTTTGTGAGCATGAAGAGAGGAAAGATGCTTACGACATTTTAGTAATATGCAAGCAAGTGATAACTGACAATGTCCAGACCTATGGATGAATAGCTTCTTCCTGAGATTTAACTGGGCCATTTAGAAAGTACACTAATCTCCGTTTCAGTATGATGACATTGTTGGTGAATAAAATGTTTAGTGTTCTTCCACATATATTTTACTTAGCCTTAGAAAGTGTCTTGCCAACAGAATTTGGCTTGTGAATTAAATGTTCTTTTTAAAAACTTGAACAAAAACAGAATTTTGAGTTTGAGGACCTGGATTTGACTTACAAAATGCCACTTATACAACCTTTAGCAAATGACTTCTTTCTTGATTTCTTCATCTGTGAAAAAAGGTTATTTAAATTATTTTATCAGGTTATTTTAAGAATTAAGAGAGAAAATACCTGTGAAAATATTTAGGACCAAGTATATGTTATTGTTACCATTATGTGATTGATTGTTACTTTTTATTTAATCATTTGAATTCTATCTATATACTATGCAAAACTGAAAATTTTATCAGCAACAGTGACTATTTGTATTTGTTAATTTTTTTATTTATGTAATCTCTTCACTAACAAAGAGATTAGATAGATAAAGATTCTATTCTATAGGAATAGAATCTTAAATGTCCTATCCTAAGGGTTCCCGTAAGAATAAAGGTAAAAATAAAAAGTCATCATGGGGAAAATTAAATGGATTAAATGGACTAGGTTTTAAACAGCAGTAGTTTTTTGATAGTTTCAATTTGAAATGATTATAAATAAAACCATAAAAATTAAAATGCTCAGTAATAGTGTTAATGATCAAATATTATGAAGTCCTTTGATTTCATATGACATTTTAAGGAACGGAATTTAATGTACTTGACAGACTATTCAACTGATAAAATACTTCACAGTTTATAAAATCAAATATGCTGAAAGCCATCTCAAGAACATTTATTATGCTCTCTCAAGTCAGCACTTAAAACTTAGAAAAATGTTGGTGATCCATATTTGGCTGAGTTGTTATTAAGAGTACAGAAGGTACTGTATGTAGGATATATATCATGGGGATATCAATCTCCAAATGTCTGAAATTTCACCATTCCATTAGGAGTATTTATAATAGATTGATTTTAGCGGTTCGGTAGTTATAATACCCAAAAAGAAGATTGCCTGTTCATCATAATAAGAAAGTCAACTTAGCTTGCCACCAGTTATCTATATGGTTAGGTACAATCACATACCTACTTTTTCCTGTCTTCCTCAACTTTTCCCTCTCTTTCTTTACTAGCAGGTAAGTTCCTTGGAGTAGAAACTGCATTTTATTTGCAAATGCATTGCCAGGGTCTGTCAAAAATATTTGATATATAGTAGACAATCAATGAACATTTGTAGAATGAAGAAATGAGTGTCAAACTGAATATATCTCAAACTCACATAAGACTGTGCTTAGGAATAAACAGCATTAGTCCAGTAGTTGCAAGAAATTCCCCAGAAGCACAGCAATGTATTCTTTATTTACTAGACTTCCTGGTTAGTACTATATTCTATTTGGCATTTCACAGAAGCTCTAACCGTCTTCAGTAAATATTAATGTAAATTTTTTTCTGGGATGGAACCACCTCCAGCCAGAATAGAATGGGTTGATTCCCTAAATATAGCTAAGTGATTACATGGAAAAAAAAAAAAAAAAAACTTGATTGAGAGCCCCATCTCATGGGCCCTGGATGGGACTCAGCAGTGGGCTCAGCATGAGGCATTGTGTTGACACCAAGGAAGAGAACAGGAAAATAAATTGTGATCAGTGCCTTCAAGGAATTTGTACTCTAACTGAGGAAGGAAGATACATTCATTTAAATGAATTAATGATGAAAGGTAAAAAGATTTAAAAAATACAGTACATGAATGAAAAAGATGATGCATTTTGCAGAAGCTTTTTTGAAGAAAAGATAATTGTAAAGAAAATTGAAGCATCATTGTGATGTGGGTTCACTGTGAAAATCATGGATTGTGCAGTTTGAGGACATGATAAGGAGCTTAAATTTATTTCAGAAATAGGAAGAATCGGTAGAGTCAGGTCGAAAGAGCCAGAGAAGTCTTTTCATGTTGCATATGTAATGAAAGTCTAAAGGCAGTAATGAACAAAAGAGTTTGTTAAAAGGATTTTTTAAGGTAAAGTCATGACTCCCATACACATATAAAATGAACTCATGACAAATGTGTTTATTTAACTCATCAATTAATGAGGGAATGAACAAGAAGTTACAAATGACTCAAAGCGTTTAAAGAATCACTCATATACAGGCACTACAGAGTGCTGAAATGTATTTTAAATAAAGGCAAAATTGGCTTCTACAACGGGGAAGGAAAATCAATGGAACCCTACCAGACAAAATTTATTGTCTGTGAACAAAAATCATTTACGTTGCAATCAGTTATCTGCAACTCATAAAGTTATCAATAACTCAAAGACAACGAGAAGTCAGAGATCCCACAGAATCAGAAAACCCAGAAGGATGTGCTAGGCAAAAACTAGTTACTGAAGATACCTAGTCAGTTTTTGTTCCATCCCAAAGCCTTTTCACATTTTTTTCCCCTGTAGGTTCATAGGAGATAATGTATAGAGCCATAGATAACAGTTTGAGAGAGTAATAGGAGACATTCTGGAGTTCTGAAATACAAACCAAGCAGTTTAGATTTGATTTTTTCATATCAGGGTTTTGTATTTTTTTACATCAGGGATCTTTTATCGCAGGTCCTTCCCAAATGCCAGTTCGTACTGGTCAGTAGCAGCTACTGAAACATTGTGTTGGGAAGGATTTTTTTTCTGGTTGCTCTTTCAGAAAGAGTGCTGTGATCACCTTACGTTTCCTGCCATATACATTACAAGGTTAGGAGGTAGAAAGTAGGAGCACAGGTATTAAGCCAGCAGGGTGCCATTGGCGGCTTTCAATTAGGGATCATGGTGTGGTGTGTGTGGTCTATAAATGTAGTGACAGTGTGCAGGATGATCTGGAGTAGGGATAGCCTGCAAGTAGGAGGACGGAAAGTGCACACGGGAGGTAGTCCAACCTTAGAAATGTGTTTGGAAAAGCACAAGTAGGGGCAGTTTGGTGCAAGAAGGAAGACTCAAAGCGCATGCCCTTGTTTAGAGAAGGGAACTAGCAAACTTGGTAAGTGGGAGGTCATGGGAGAAAAGCAAATATAGATACTACAGTCAGGGTCCTTTCGGGAAGTGAAAGGGATTATAAGGCGATTCACCTTGGTGATATAAATTCCGTTTTTCA